CTCCGTCTGACGCGAACCGTCATTGTCGATGTCGAGAGATTCGAAGTCCAGGTCGTCGACGTCTTCATCGGAAATTGGCTCTGAAAGTCCAAAGGTCGATTCATCGAAGTTGTCGCCGTTCCAGTCCTTTGAAACTACGACAGCTTCTGCTCGCATTGGGGTCGTGTGTACCAAAGTTGAAAGCATTATCTCGTCGCTATCAAGGATGTGTATCTGCGAACCATGTCACATTTGCGAACTCGATGAATCTTCAGACACATGTATCTACAAGGAGCAGGAAGGACTCGATTTATCGGATGGATCGGACTTAATGACTGACCAACCTTTGCTCGAACCGGCAGATTGGTTCCTAACCGAAGAGGAAATTACAGCGTCGCGAAGGATTTTTCCTCGAGCCGATCTGGCCACTTACACGACGGGGAACGTTGTGGACACGTACACAATGACCGAGGAGTTTTTCGATGCTGCATTTAAAGACCTCTCTTCCACCACGTCAGGAGATCGAGTGATGCTGGCGGGCTGGAGCACAGACCTGATTCCGTTCCAGCCCAAGGTTGATAGTGGTAATAAGTCTCGATTTAACAGTGTGATTGAAGGCGTGGTCCAGCGAGGTGGCACTTTCAACGCATTGGTATGGGCGAATTTGATAGAACAATCGCAGAACGTCAAGGTTCGCGACGTCATAAACGCTATTCCAGCGCCATCGATTTTAGGAGATAAACCGCTTTTCCTCTTTGACGATCGAGCGACCACAGTCACATCTTTGCATCACCAAAAAACTCTGATTATTGCGTCTCGCAACTCCACCGGAGTTGATGAACACCCTGTGGCTTTTGTTGGCGGAGTTGATATCACATCGGATCGCTGGGATACTATCTACCACAATGAGTCAGCTCGTCGCAAAGATACCGGTGTCAAAGTGAAATACGACGGCTGGCTTGATGGTCATGTTAGAATTCATGGTCCTGCTGCAAAGGATGCGGCAGCAAACTTTATTGGTCGCTGGAACGCCGACTATGAGCCAACACAAGGTCTCACTAATGATTTGCTCGGCTTTGAAAACCCTTCATACTATGACTTAGATCCCCTTAACACCTTGGTTCCGGACGGTACTCGCCTAGGACGCGTAAGCGTATGTCGTAAGTTACACCATTGCGAAGAGCTTGGTATTTGTATTGGCCATGTGTTTGCCTTGAGGATTTGAATATAAATTTTCAACAGGTTTCCTAGACAATGTCGTAACTCATACGGCATTGTGAGACTGCAGTCGACTCTCTAAGTCGTAACTATCTACAAATGTCAATAACAGGTGGCTGTGCTGATGCCGCTCATTTCAGAAAACGCAAGGAAGAAGGTACATCAGTTCAAGAAACTTAGCATTCAACCACACAAACCTAGCGACTCAACAATTGACTACACATTCAATCCGCCCACGTCGGTCCGGTTAGTGGCATCGTCACCGGGGTTTCTGCCGTCAACGCCTTGGTCACAATGAAGCCGGAGCTCCCGCCGTGTTTTCGTTCGCCTTCCAGCACTCTGACCGGGCCGACGCAGCACAACTCGCTTCCCTAAGTCCGGCGGAATCGCTTGGCCTGCTTGGAAGTCGTCATGCCAGATTTCAAAACATGTTTTCGCAACACCCTTGTAGTCGCGGTGAATCCGGTTGCACAGCCAGCACTTCGCGCTGTCGACAGAACAGCGTTCGCAAAAGTACGACGTCGCGTACGACTTCTTTTATCTGTCCGCAAGAGTGCACATACCTTGCAGGACCGCTGGCGTCGCTTCTGGACGCCGCTGACGGTAACCCAGTCTTCGGACTGCTGCAGCGAATGTGATAGCCGGACCGGTGCGCGCCGTCGTTTCTGGCTGGAGGAGGGTGGTGTTAGTTGTACTCCAGCAAAATCTTCGGCCTTCACTTGGAGGAGCTGGTTCTGGAGAACTGCAAACCACTCCGAGCGTTTCATCGCGACCGTCCGTTTCATTTTAGCAGCCTCTTTGTGTGACAAGAACGCATTTACCAGCGCTAGGTCGAGAAAGCCTAAAAATAGGCTTTTATAGTATTTTGAGAACCGCGTGGACATCTGCAGTGAGTACGATTGCAGGCGGAGTTGATCATGACGATCTACTCCGCCCATCCAGTCCTGGTAGTCGTTCACAGCTGCCGGACAACCGACCTGAATTGCACTGACTCGCTTCAACTTTCTCTCGATTGTGGACGGTGTCATTACGGAGCCTGTACACAGGTAGTAAACAGGTTTTCGACCCCACCAGATGTAGGAGACCATGCTCGGGACGGCGACCGAACGCGAAAAGGCGAAAGAGCCACGGGGGATGCTAGCTGGACGAGTCTTGCTCTTAGACACTATGCTCTTGTTGAACCCCAAGCGGTTCGTCATAATTGTCCCCACCACGTAGATTTGCATAGCTAGGAGCTCAACCGCAAGGAGAATTGACGAGTAATACCGGTCGATAACGACAGCATGCCACGGGCACCGCAACTCTGGAGTTAGCGCAAAATTCAAGTTCCGGACGACGGCCGCTGCTCCCGTTTTGAAGTCAACGCCAGTGTCTCTTCCATCAATATTATTCCGCTTTCCAACATAAACTTCAAATCTACAAAGTTACGACATACATAGTAATTAGGATCTGCCACAACGGGTAAGTTACGACATTGAAAATAAGACAAAAAAACAACCTGTGACAGTACGCGGTCTTTGCATCACATAACATAAATAGTTTTGAGCCGTATCTGTGAGGCTTGTCAGACATGAACATGCGGGTGGTGTTGCGCCTCGACGTTGCAGGCAGCACGCCTTCGTCGAACGAGAATATGGCAGGGAGAGACCAGCCAGCTAAGAAACGCTGTTGGAGCTTGTCCACCACTGGGCGCACCTTCCACAGGTTGTCGCGGCCGTGGTCCACTGTGTTATCTTCAAAGTGAAGATCCCTCATAATTGATTGACATCTGTCGCGGCCCATGTAACGCCCAAACAGCCCAGCAGGTATTTCCCCATCTTCGATCATAGACCAATGCGCGGCGAAGCGTCTCTTCTGGGGACAAAGCATCCGAGCGACAAGAAGCCCGACGACATGAAGGATTTCGTGGGCACTGTATGCTTGGGCTGCCCTTAATCGCCTGGCAATTTGTGCGACGGTCTCACGCCGGCGTCCGGACTGGCGTGCAAACATTTTTTCTGCTCGCTTGTCCACTTGCTGAAGTCCATAACGATTCGTCTCAGTAGCGATAGAAACCCATAGCGTTTTTGGCATGAAGTAGAAAAGAGTGAGGATTGGCGAGCGCCAAACGTCAAGCAGCTCGCCCACAGGTCTAGCTTCCTCCTGACCCAGTCCGGGATAAGCATTAGTATCCGTTTCGTACTCCGTCGAAACCGGTGTCCATTGCATAGATCGAAGAGTGTCCTTGTGAGCCTCCTCAGCCGCTTTGCTCAGTGTAGTGCTGCCAACATTAAGTGATGCCAGGAGAGATTCATCCATGGCGACAGCATCACTGTCTGAAAGAACGTCTTCATCTTCGTCTATCACGTCACCTTCGGAAGCACAGTCGTCATCACAGATGCCGGCACCATCGCTCTCGTCTGAGCTATAGTCCTCGTACTCACTGCTGTTCTCCCCATCCTGCAACACGTTCACGTCATCCGTGGCTGTCAGCGGTACTCGAGCTAGTCGTTGTGCAACGATGAGGGGTATTGGTGGGTCCAGTGCATTCGTCTTCCCCTTCGCTCTCCATTCCCGACGCCTCGGATAACATGTGCAAGCTTGTGGCAGCCTCTCTTTTTTCTGTTCGGCTTCTCGATCACTCGGGGAGAGATCAAATGCTCTCATAACCGCAGCCTGCGAAAGCTCAACCTTCCGATTCACTGGAGGGATCCGGAACATCTGGTCGATAGTATTTTGTGATAGCAGAGCACTTGTGTCAATTTGGGAGGGTGTAATGCCGTTTTCAAAATCAGTTCCTGCATTATCATGCCGTGTATCGCTCCCGACTTCCTCTGGGGCTTGATCATCTCTACCCCCCTGACCATCTTTACCAGCATCCGCTACCGCGTCTTCTTCAGCCAACAATTCCCGACTGGAGGCGTAATCGACAACCGCACGCTCACTATGAGACGTGGAGCTCTC